GCTTTTGGAAGAAAAACACCAAACCTTGGCTTTGTGAACTGCTTTGGAAGAATCGCACACAGCATAGATACCGTGAGAGAAAACAGCTAATGTAAGGACCCAGACTAAACTGAGCAAAGGGTTTAAGGTGAGAGCAAAGCTCATCTCTTGCCCATATTTATTCCACATCCTCTAAAAGGCATACTCTTAAAAGATAAAATTAAAAAGAAAATGAAATAAACAAAGTACTATGGATAGGTAAAATCATGAAAGCAGTGAAAGAAAAAATTAAACCCTGCTTGAATTTTCAGTATAAAAGTGGTCAGCTAAGCTCAGAACAAAATGAATGCAAAAAGAATATGTAACCACAAGGAAAGTTCAACTTACAGAAAGAATATCAGAGACTGATGTTACATAAATGGAAGAAGAATAGAGTTCAGAGGGAAAACAGGTTACCTAGGGGAAAAATGGGAGGCACCTGTCCTGTGCAGTCTCATCCAAAGCAGCAGGATAGGAAAAGGAGACTGGACCATGGGCATGTTTTCATCAAAACCAAGTTGGATACATACAAATATCTAATTCTGTTGTATACCGGAAACTAATATAGTGTTGTATGTCAACTATACCTCAATAAAAATAAAAGAATAAATAAATGAATAAGTAAATAAATAAAATAAAAATAAAAAAAACAAGATGACAGGCCACTGGCTACACAAGAATCCCAAGAACCTCTGTTGGAAGCAAGGATGCAGGCAGGAAAGAAGGCCCTTTAACAGACAAAATCCAAGCCAGAGCATGGGTTTGGAGGAGTGAAGCAATGGGTTTAGAGGCTCTTGTTCCTTTTAGCAATTATCCTCTCTTCATGGGCATAAAGGCAGAGTTGCCAAAGGAAGAGAAATAGATAACAAACATGAGGTTTGTAGCCCAGTTTTCTTCACTGTGAAAATGGAGACAATGGTCATTCTTCTCATTCTTCCTGGAATGGGGAGGCAATTCAGTCCAAGGAACTCAATATGTGTATATGCAAGGTATCCCTATTTATAAAAATCAAATCGAATGAAGATATTAATAGTTCTTGTTAGTCTCCAATCTGCTCTTTGAAGCCCACTGATGTGGCTGCCCTTAGACGCATGGCTATCAGTGAAGGAGGGCTCCTGACTGATGAGATCAGGCGAAAAGTGTGGCCCAAGCTCCTCAATGTCAACACCAATGACCCATCTCCTGTATCAGGTAAGGGTAGGGGATGGAACTGTGAGGCAAGGGGCTCTAATAATCCCTTTGAAGACCCTTCTGTGGCTTCTCTGAAAGGGGGTGGGGGAAACCTCTCATTTACCACCTCTAGGCCATGAGAAATTATTTTTGGTTCAGGCTTTCACAGTGGGTGTCTGAGCGTGACCCAGTAAATGAAAGAATGACTCAGCAGACTGGGAATACAAAGGGTCCCTGAGGAGGCAGGGTCCTACATGTTAGGTCACACTGTGTGCTGGAATGGAAACTCCCTGGAACTGGCGAACACCAAAACAAGAAAGTAGATACAACTGGGATAGAAATTTCAGCGTAGCAAGACTGAGAGAGCTTCTCACCAGGAGGGAACCGCCGTAAGGACCGCCTGACGTCCAGCAGCACTTGCTGGTAATCCTTGCTCATCTGTCGCAGGTTCTCCCCTATTGGAGGAAAAGGAACATATTAATGTAGAAATGTCTGGGAAGCGAGATTAGGAGCAAAATATTCTGGTATGACATCAAAGGCCTGGAGGGCATACTTTGTCTTTCTTCTGAAAAGGACATGACTCAAGATATAACATTTGGAGAGGAATCCCTAGTTTAGTTCCAAATATGCTGTTTCATGCAAGTCCTGATGACAGTAGGAGGCGGGAACACACTGTCCAAAAGGCAACTGAGTGAGCTGGAAAGAGCAGCAGAGGAGAGGTCAGGAGGCCAGGGGCCTAGTATGGCTGCCACTGGGGAACTGCTCTGAATTTCAAAGTCCACATCTGCAAAATGGTGATATTCCCTTCCATAATACACCTCTTAGGTTAGAGTAAGGCTCAAATAAGATCGCGAATGTGGAAACCACAGGCCACTGGGAAAACGACATCTGTAAAGTCTAGGGAGCACTGAGCTGTTCAGAAAGGAATAGTAAGATAAACTCTCTTGTCCTAACCTCTCTTGACCCAGAAATTCTAAAACTAAGACGCTGCAAATAAGAGATAGTACTTGTGTTCAGGTGATAAGCCCATTAAAATGTGAGAGTTAAGGAGGCAGTTTCTAGCTATTATACATGAGAAGTGTACATTGCCCTCAACCCAAATTGAGTGTTGTATAACAAGTCTACATTTCCTTCACAAGCCGAAATCAAAAGCTACCACAGGAGCCTGTGCAATACTTCCCCAACCAAGACTTCATCTTATAAAGATACGGGAAATTTGGAATCTGATAGAAGAACATCATCTCAGGATACAGAGTGTGAACATGGCAATGCCTTTTCCTTCCAACAAAAAGCTGATTGCTCCAAGGCAGCCAGTTTCAAATATAATAACAAGTGGCAACTTAAAACCCTTGGCTGCACTATGACACTGTGAACTTTTATTGGCAGAGGCTGTTTTAATCATTTCTAGTACCTGGCACACAAGAGGAGCACAATTAATATCCGCTGAATGAGTGAAAGAATCCCCAGCACCTGGACTCTGGCTATACATAGCAGGAAAGCAATAAATGTTTATTGAGTGAATAAATGACAAAGTGGGCTCACTGTTCTGCAGTACTTTTATTTGAATTCTGCACCATATTCCAAGGAAATCCTTCTACTACGAAGGCCTTGCAAATTAGTTAAGTAACAGCTGTTCATAGAATTATAGAATTTTAGAATTCCAAAAGATCTTAGTGTTTCCCGATAAAAAGCACCAAAGAGGTATTATCTCTCCCTTTAGCTTAATGTTTCTCAAAATGTAGTTCATCTGCATCAGGTGAGGTGTGTATTAAAATGCTGATTACTACAACCAACCTCTAAGTTATTCAAGACTGGATATTTTTAATAAACTCCCCTACCTAGCCAATAAAAGCTACCTACATACATACCTAATGAAAGCTCCATTTTTGAATAAAATTCTACCTATCAGTTTGGCCTCATTTTCAGACTGGGCTCATGCATATCCTAAAATGTTTTAAATTTACTCATCTATTCTTGGTTTGACATAAGCATAAAAATCAAAGATCCTGGATTTTTTCCCCTTGCCTCACAGTTCCATCCCCTACCCTTACCTGATACAGGAGATGGGTCATTGGTGTTGACATTGAGGAGCTTGGGCCACACTTTTCGCCTGATCTCATCAGTCAGGAGCCCTCCTTCACTGATAGCCATGCGTCTAAGGGCAGCCACATCAGTGGGATCACTGTTCAGGGCCTGGTGTATCTCTGCCACTTTCTTTTTCCTTTTGGCATTAAAGTCTGCAAAAAAAGGGGTAGACACATATTCGGCATGTGTACGTTTTCTGTTCAGGGCTCAATCTTCTTTTCAGTCTGAGTTACAGGTAGGTATATTTAAAGCCAACCTACAGATATTTAATTAGCACATAATATGCAAAAACACTAAGGAGATATACCATATAAATAACAAGCAAGGAATTACAATGATAATAAATAGTAAATTCAGGCCATGCACTATAACATATTAACACATTAACAGATACTGTTAATATCTACCTAATAGAATGCCTGTTTTTCTTAATGCCAAGCTTTAGAGCATATATATCTTAATACGATGATTATTTCCTGTTGTTTGTAGAAGAAATGTATATGTATGACACCGAAATTCAATACTACGTTTTTAAACAAAACCACAAAAGTCTCCAGTTACATGCTAATTCAACTGGTAAAACATCAGAATCATATAGGAATATTTTCAAAATCAGAATGTCAAAGGGTATATATATATACTCTGATCTCCAGTGTGGTGGATGGTATAAGAGTGGCATGGTGCTGCACACAAAGCAATTGTTTCGTAACACCCATATTATCTAGTGTGATCAAGAAGTAATGTTTTAAGCATCTTACATCCTTATATGGTAGTTCGTTATTCACACACAAGCATTTTATTGTGTTTAAATAACTTTCTAGGAAATTGGTTGAGAGTTTGTGGTTGATGTTTATCACATCATAATTTTCCTATTTAAAATAATGGAGTTAATAGGCTCTCAGAGTTTTCATTAAGAATGTCTAATTTTAGAAAATGTAAACACAAGAAAAGTTAAACAAGACACTAGAAAAGAGCTGTTACAAAGCCATGCACTATAAATGCCAAATAAAGGTATGTGCAGACACCAAGAGCTCAGAGACTGCTGTGGGTCAGGCTAATCTGAGAAGGCATTACTGAAGAGTGTAGCTTAAAAAGGAAAAGGAAGATTTTAAAAGGCTGGAAGGAGGAAGAGAGCAGAAGAAAGGCTTGGAGATAGGAAACACAAGTCCTTTTCATTTAACAGTAAACGGATTCATTAAAAAATATTTATGCAGCATATACCAGGTGTAGGCACTAGAGTTACGTAAGGTGGAAGATAATACCAGATGGTAGGTTAGGCTTTAGACAAGACTAATGTCAGAAGTAGGTTAGGCTTTAGAAGGGACTAACATGGGAAGGTAGATTAGGTTTTGGAAGGGACACTAGGCAGCTTTCCTCAGTAATGTTCTATTCTCAGGCAATAGTCTACAAATTGTTTCCATGATGAAGCTGCATATTAGTAACAGTAATGAAAGTTGGAACTAATGGTCCTGGTTACCTACCTATGAGAGCTGTGACATATAAACCAATCAGTTTAGAGTCACATGCAACTGGAGGTACGGAAAGGACAATAACACAGGTGATTTTTCGCTCAGGTAAACTTGTTCTCCTGGCTAGATTATTATTTTCTCTGGTAACCTAGTAGGGTGAGCATTTCTTTCAGTCTGTCTGGTTCTCACCTATAATCCTGGCGTAACTCTTCATAGCAAACCCCTCCAGCTATCTGCATTCTCAAAAATTTAACTGGATTCTAAATTAAATGGTAACTCTACCTAGAATCACGAAAAATCAAGTCTCAATTCCCTGTGTCAGTAGAGCACCTAACTAGTCTATTGCATTCTCAAAAATTTAACTGGATTCTAAATTAAATGGTAACTCTACCTAGAAATCACGAAAAATCAAGTCTCAATTCCCTGTGTCAGTAGAGCACCTAACTAGTCAAATGGCTGTTTACAAGGTGCTTTAAGCTCTTGTCTGTCCCTCCATCCATCCATTAGTCTATCTATTCATTTATCAGTCCATCATTTAATGAACATTTACTTGTAGTAAAGCATTATCCTAGAGATAAAAAGATGAATGTGACTCACTCCCAGCCCTTGAGGGACACAAATAATTTTCATATATAATGTAACAAAAACCATAAGACAGAATGACTACTCCTGAGGCAATCAGGAAAGGCTTCACCAAGAATATATTCTGGTACTTTCTTAAAGAAAACTTTGCACATGGAAGCGTGGCTGAAGGGAGAGTACTCCAGGCAGAGGAAAGAGCGTGTACAAAGACCCTGTCATGTTAAAGAAGCATCATGCCCAGAAAACAGAAAATTCTATGAGGCTGATGTGTTAGGTAAAGGGAGAGAACAGAAGCTGGAAGGATGCAGTAAATGTGGCTTCGGAAGAGTCTGGGCTGCCTTTATCTTGTTGAGGACTCTGGGCTTTATCCTGTACTCAAGGGAAGACAAGGAGGGATTTTACTTTGAGTCAAAGGGCTATCCTTTGGAAGAGAAGGGTGTATGTTTTCAAAGAGGGACTGTAGACACAGGAAACAGAGGAGACTTTTTATATAATAACACAGACTGAGACAAAACATAAGCAGGGATTGAATTAACAAAGAAAAAAAAGTACCAGATAGCCTACATTTTCTTTACTTAGTTTCCTTGTACTTTCTATACATCACAAATTAAAACGCTTAAATGGTAATATGAACATGGCTTGAGGTAAGCTCTGATGTTTAGAAATCTTGTTAACCTGCTTGCTAAGAGTGTAGAAAAATGTTGTCAATTTGTTTAGACACATATCCACCTTGTCCCTCTTCCTAACTAAGCTATTCAGCAATCTGGGGGAAAGGAAAAACTTGCTTGTATCTTAGAAAAAATAACACTGCAATCAGTTGGATTTCCATTAGGTTTTGGCAAATAATCTGCCAGAATTTTTACTAATTCTGAACCTAAACCATAGCTCTAGTACATAGTTCTCTTAACACTGTTTTAATTCTATTTTTAATCTTGCATTTCAGAATTTACTACCATTTCTAGTTTTGGTGCTCCATGAGAACTCAGTAAATATGTGCGGAATAGAATAAATAATTTAGCTTAGCTATTGTTCCTCTGGAAAAACTGGCATAGAGTAAATGACATTATTTTCCTTTACTACTGTTAAGAATATGCCCACTGCACAACTCTAAACAACAGTCATGCGCCGCATAACAAAGATACATTTTGAGAAATGTGTTAGGCGATTTCGCAGTTGTGCCAGCCTTACAGAAAGCACTTACACAAACCTACATGGTATAACCTACTACATACCTACGCTATATACCACTTTTGTATATGTGGTCCGTCATTGACCAAAACATCGTTACATGGTGCATCACTGTAGATTTATAGGCTCTTTGAACTTTTTCTAAAGCTACTGGTACTTCCCAGAGTAGGATGCTGCTCAGATGTGGATTTTAGCTACTGTCTGTTCAGGCCCCAATATCACCTTCATCAATCCCACATTCCAGTGATTATGTATTAATGGCAGATGAGGAAGGCTCTCATTGTGACGTAAAAAGGGAGGAGAAAACAGAAAACTCAAGTTAGCTAGAGATGTATAAATTACAGAGTAATAAGGTCAACTGCTAGACTACACAATGAGGGAGAAAGGTTAGCAGAGTCTCGACTGAACTAATTTACATATATCCTTTTTATCTCAGAAAGAGGAAAATCATTGAGCTATTCTTGGGATGCTTGGGAAAATATTACAATTAATGCCTACTAGCTATTTTAAGATAAATTTTATATATGGACTTTGGGGTGGGACACACTTCTGAACTTGAAAATGCTCTATTTGGGCTTGGGATAAAAGCCCACATTTCATATGGAGATAGCATATATGTAATCCAAATCCCTGAATCCTTTCATTTCCAATTTATTTTTGCCCCACTTATGAGAGATGTATTATACATTCCAAAGTTGATACCTTCCAAATTTCTTTACAGTAAGAGAGAGGTCTTGGCTGTCATAACCATGACAGAATAAAATGACTATCCTGTAGTTGGCTGCAAAATATAAGGCACTGCTATAAATAAATCCTGATGCCTAAAAAGCAATTCATTCAACAAAGGAAAGTGATGACGTAGACATGACTTGGGCTGCTCTCCACTAAAATGATCATTTAAATAAGGGGCACTGAAGCGGTAGTTCTTTACGGTTCACATGAAGATGGCTCAGGCCATTATTATCTCAAATACTTCCCAATTTTGGCTACAGAATCTGGGTAAAGATTTCTGCCTACGAAGAGGTATCTCCAAAAGTACCTGGCTTGGAGAAATAAATATATAGGAAAATGACAATGACTAAAGATGAACACCAGCTATGCTTCCTCTAAAAGTTTTTCCTTATCGGCAAAATACAGATTAGTGACTTACATCAGGCAAAAGGTCTACATACTTAATAATGAGATCTTATATGAGAATATAAAATTCCATACTAATTATTTGGTTTAAGCTTGCACATCAAGAAAGCTTTGCATAGACGTTAAACAGAAGTTAAACTAAGCAATGCTAGCCTTAATCAAAACAATGGAAGAGCTAGTGGGGGCCGAGGAGGGAGGTGTATAGATAGATAGGTATCCCTTCAGACAGATGGACACCACCCTATCCCACCCCCTGAACTCTTGATATTGACATTGGAAATTAACTTAAAATTTTATGCTGGAACTTCCTATCTGTACTGGAGAAACATAGGGGGAGAGAAAAACTTACCTTTTGCTAAGTAAGGTTCCTATTAAAAACAAAATAAAACAAAGTGGCCTCTGTTTTTGGACGTCCTATTTAGTTTCAACAAACGGTACCAGGATTAGCAGAGACTCATTAACTACCAGAGGTATAAAGACCAGCACGTATTAAGAAAGACTGCTTTACCCCAAAATGGAGAGAAATGTTCTAGAGAGTGAACCAATCTGATCATAAACTCTACAAAGGAGAGCTTCTAGGATTGCCTATTCACCAATATAAATAAAAACAATAAAAATAAAAAAACTCTGATTTCTAAATTCTTCCCATCCATCCAGAGACACAAAAGCAAGGAAACTGGAAGATAAAGTCTCCAAGCCTATGCATAGTTGTGCTACAACAGGTCACAGGACTCATACCACCTGAGACATTGACTATTATGCCATGAGGACAGATGTCATACAAACATCAGCAAAGGGTTACAAGGACAAAGGGCCCAGAGAAGTAATATGAGGCGTGAGCTCCACTTCCATCCAGGACTAGAATAGGATAAAAAAGGGATAACAGAAAATGAGCCCAGAGAAACAAGATGTGGATACTGGGTGCTTCATCAAAATATGTCGGTTGAATATGCTGTTGGTTCTGTTAGGGGCACGGCACCAGCCCATAAGAAATGAAAAAGTGGGAAAACTATTTTAGTCTTCTCCGGGAGAGGGAGGGGGCGGGGGTGCGGGGATTATTTTACTTGGTACAAAGTAGACAATAATTTCAACGGTCATGTCTTAATTATATGTAAAATATATTTGAAAACACAGTGCACAACCAAACCATGATTTCATAGAAATTATTGCTTAGAATGTAACAGTATAAAAAATAAAAATCGCTTTTCACACAATTAAATAATATTAAAATAGTTGGGACAGGATCCAGACAGAAAGCAGATTGGTGGTCAGGAGCTGTGGAGACTGGAGAACGGGGAGTGATAGGCTTTCTTTTTGGAATTATTAGTGTTCTGGAATTAGACAGTGGTGATGGTTGCACAACTTTGTTAAGTACAAAGAACCACTGACCGTACACTTTAAAAGGGTGGATTTTATGGTAATTAAAAGAAATAGGTGGTCATGCACACTCCGTAAATCAAGACGGCAATATATGAATGAAGTTTGGGAAACCTGCTTACAACTAGGGAGGCGGCACCAGGAGTCTGTGGACGTGGCCGAACTGTTTCAGGTCGGGGCTGAGACTTGGCCTTAGTTCTCAGAGAAACTCAATTCTCTTTTTAAAAGACGAGGCCGGACGCTGGGTCCTGGCACCATACTTAATACTGGAGACGCGGTTCTGTCACTAGGGTTCCTCTGGTCTCAACCTCCGCTGAGCCCGGTTCTAGGCTCTCTTACCCTTCAGCCTTTTCCTCTTCCGCGGTCCAGACCCCGGCCCGCGGCCCTGAGCGCATCCGCGCAATCGCCGAGGGAGCCACTAGTCCCCGGCCCCTCAGGCGCTGCTGGCACCAGGGCCCGCTCCTCCAACAGCTGTCCCCTGCCCCTCGGGCTGCCCCAGCCCCTCAGGCCGTCCTCACAGGCCACCCCCTCGGCGCACTGGTCGGCTTCCGTACCTGCCTTCTCCTCGCCGCCATCCCAGCGGCTGGAGGTGGGGCCGTCGCCCTGCGCACTCCGAGAGGCCATATCCCGGGGGCCCGGGCCCGGGCCCGAGCCCCGGCTGGGCGGGGAGCCC